GTGATATGTTGGGCATTTTAAGTACGAGTAATCAAAGATGTTGCAAAACAAATACATTTGTTGCACATTTCGTGATTAACGAAATTATTAATTTGAGTTGGAATAAACCAGATTTCGTCTTACGTAAATCCACTATGCCTATAGACTTTTAAACTCTGTTCAAAACCAAAGCAAAAGTTATACTGATATATGACTGGGATGTTCAAATAATAAAATAATTAAGCTGCTTAATTAAATTGATGTCTTTATTAGTCTAAAGTGCATGAGTTATATAAGCAACAATCGAAAAAATGTTAAATTATTTGTCAGTCGGTTATGCACCCATCCTGGTATTTTGTAATCGAACAAACAATTATTTGACAACAAAATTGTACACCACTAAAAGTAACAATAAGAAGAGGCAAAATTGCATAAGGCAAAGAAAACTAGATATTAGTTTTAATATTCGTGTGCATGTAGCAGGCTTTGGACGAGCCGCCTTGGTCTTTAATAAATTTAGCATCTTTTCGCTAAGTAATAAACTTTCTACACTAGATCTTTTGAATACTAATGGACTTAAAAGATTTGTTGTATGGTTTATTATTACTGTGTTGAGACATAAATCATTACAATTATTTCCAACATCGAACACAGGTTGCAATAAGTCAAAATATCATAATAACTAAAAATATAATCTAAATTGAATATAATAAAATCATGATCATTTCATTTATGGTTGAGAGTAAAAAGTGATTCATAAAGAGAATTTTTGGAATACAAAGTCGTCATTTCTTTTTTGTAGGATTAGTTGTCGCAGCCTGCGACTCGCAGGGCTTTGTCAAATTGTCCGGAGGATCTAATTTCTTTTACATTTGTGGGTAAATTATTCCAATACTGACTGGCCCAATAAAAAAAGGATTTCTTCCCTGCACTAGTTTTAGGATAATTAAATGCTAGATTACCATTACTTCTAGTAGGGCTTATGACAATTGTAAAATAGTTGGCGAATTCTTGTCACATCGCTGATGTGCTGGAAGAGAAATGTTACCCCGTATAATATTTTTCTCTCTTCCGTGTAGAGCAAACTGGCAATTTCTGCTCTGTCATTACAAGAAACTACATCTGCCTTAAATTTCAGAATATTGTTTAACAATTTATGCAGTAAATAATCTAATCTACCCATCTTACTTGGAAAAATACCTCCCCATACTGGTATACAATATTCTATTACACACAAAATTAGAGATTTTGAAAAGATGACGAGTTTTTTGGGAGAGAAAGAGCGCTTGTGTCGAGAGATAAGATGGATGCTGGAGGTCACGGTTCTGCAGGTTTGATCATAATGGTCATCAAATGCTAGTTGCTCATCTAAAACTAGGCCGAGGTATTTGAAAAAATTTACTCTTTGAACTGTATGACCCATAATTGATATATGGAGGTCGTCAGTCCTTTGCATTTCTGGAGCGTGAAGAAGCATGGAGTGCGTTTTGCTCCAGTTAATTTCCATTCCGTTTTTGATGGGCCATTCTTCGATAGCCTGAAGATCTTCGTTAAGGATGTCTTGGATGACTTTTGGAGACTTGTGGAAGCAGTCAATAATGACGTCATCGGCATAGATGATTACTAATGTTTTCTTCAGATATGGGGGCAGGTCGTTAATGAAGACGACGAAGAGAATACTGCTAATTCCCCCGCCCTGGGGAATTCCGACCCGTAGTCTTTCTGGTTTGGAGATGGCCCCATTCACTTTCACTCGTATTCTCCTGTCGTCCAGGTAGGATTCCAAGAGCTTTAGAGCGTTGCCTTCAAACCCCATCTTCTTAAGCTTCCGGATGAGTAACACATGGATGACTTTATTGAAAGCAGACTGGAAATCGATAAAGAGTCCACCAGTGTAGAGACGCTGATCCATGGCACCATAGATGTCGGTTGTCAGCTTAATTGTCGCGGTGGTGGTGGAGTAGTGGGAGCGGAAGCCGTGCTAATTGAGAGAAAGTAAATGATTTTTTCTCTGGTGGGTCACTATTTTATTGCATATCATATTTTCATCTTATCATATTTCAAAGATGTACGTTTCAAAGCAGGGTTATGTTTACCGCTATCTAGTTTAACAGAGTTTAAAAAATTTAACATCACACACCGAGAATCAAGTAATACCAAGTAATACCCGCCTAATCCAAAAATTAAGTCCCACCGAGTATCTATATGTTCCAATTTCAAGGAACAATGCAGGTATACAGATTATCAAACAAAATCCACAAATATAGAAACCCGTTGTAATTTTAGAATCAAAATCTAATTTTGAAACTTCGTCGACCTTTGGATGCGACCAATTTGCGTAGTAATTCAATAACTTTTTCGGTCTCCACAGTTTGTACAAAAATTCCCAATGTGCGAAAATCCCTGAGGATATCATCACCTTAAGACGCTCCTCAGCGTAACTATGCCGAACGGGAAACATTGTCCAACCTCGTATTTCAGTAAAGAATTCATCATCGCCGCTAACGTATGCTATCTTTTTCTTATTATCATTCAGGAAATTTGTCATTGCCGCAACGTTCTCTTTTGAGTCCATCAAGGCAATTTTTCCGCAGCTCGACAGACTTTTAATTATCCCAAAAGTGTCCCCGTGTGTATATTCTATTGGTTGGATGGGATAATCCTGTAATGCGCTTTTGTTATAGGGAAGTGGGTTGCCCACATAAGATGAAAATATACCGTCCCGGACACGATTCATATTCTCGTCCAATCCAAAATGAGGTAGGAGCAGGTTAAACCACTTTTTGGCGGTATTCTTATGGGTTACCAGACGCTTATATGTCACATTTTCCTGTGATGTGTGCATACATCGATAGTAAAGTTTACTATAGAAGTCTTGGTATCGAAAATATTCTACGGGAGGTACCATTTCAGAATCATATTCATCTAGAAGGTTGAACGGCACTAGGATTCGGACCCCTTCAACGTCCGTTACACTCGTCCACGGTGAATGGTAAGTTCTTGGGACAATCATTTCTATCGTGAAACAACTTTTATACCAATTCGTCAAAACCGTTCCTACCAAAAGAATCCACACTGCAATAATGGTATAGAGTCCGACCGACTCGTGTCTATTTCTGAGAAATCTAGCCTCGTAAATAGTACGAGAAACTAGAACTGAGCTTTCCAAGGTTAACCCGACCACCAGAAATATTCTATCAGAGGAAATTTCGCCACAATTACTAAGTACTGCGGTTAAAATTAGGACCACTGTGGAGAAACATGTCACTAAAAGTGCCCAGCTGACTCTATCGAAAGGACTAGTTAGCGTGTTAAGCATGTCTGAATTCAAACTTGTTTGGTAACACGAAACAAAGCTGTACGTACGGACGTCATACATTATAAAATGCAGTCCCCTATGAGCCTCAACTCCAAGTCGACGAATTGGTGTGATGAAGTGGAGTGGCATGTAGTTTGTAAAATTATGGTCTATCACGTCCTGTAAGAGCCAGAAGGACAGGAAACCGTGAAATGAGGTTAAATTCGCTAACCGACGATACTCAAGAGTGGAATGTTTAATCCTTCCCACATCCTTGTGATCGAATAATTGGCGGACATTAAGCAAATTTGCACCTGCAAAACTGCTGTATGTAGACCAATAGTATTTGTTAAACTTTGAGACATTTTTTCCTGTTACAGTCAATTGTTCATAATAGTCGGAAGGTAAGCATTCTATTTGGTAGCATTCTATTACGGTCAAGTATTCCCTGGTACTTGTATTGGTCCATAATTCCGTCAACAAATTCCATTTTTCCTGCCCCACTTGAAGCCATGCATCCCCACACCATTACCGACCCGCCGCCGTGCTTAACTGTGGGGTTGAGATTTTTTGGATTCAATGCTTCTTTTGGATATCTCCACACTCTACGACGCCCATCTGACCCAAAGACATTGAACTTTGACTCGTCAGTCCATAAAATACTGTCCCAGAATGTTTGTGGCTTGGAAATGTGGTCTCTGGCAAACTTCACTCGTTTGGTTGCATTCCTCGGTACAATAAGAGGCTTCCGGACTGCTCTGTGGGATTTCAAATTTCCCTTGTTCAGTGTTCTTTGGATGGTCCTAGGACTAACTTGTTTGCCGAACATCTCCTTGATCTCGGTAGATAGCTTTGGAGCACTAAGTGAGGGTGTAACGTTGACTTTGTTGAGCACGTGGCGTACTTCTCGGTGAGCCAAAATCGGTTTTCGACCACTTCTGACCTTGTTTTGGACTGAACCATTAGCTCTAAAGTTCTTAATGATTGTCTGGATGGTTGTCCTTGCTAATTTATACTTGGTCCCTATTTGTCTCTGCGACAGCCCCCCTTTTTGTCCACCCTTCCAGTCCTGAATGACAAGATCTCGAATAGCGATAGGAATTTCCTTGCGTGTCGACGCCATCATATTTTTCTGGAAGAAAATTATTTAAAAATTAATGCGGCATATGTTATTGATAGATTTATTAAGTTACCTGATTTTATAAATTGGAGAGATTTTTGTTGTTGACAATTAAAGTGAAGTGGACGTAGACTTTTGTCCGCTCAAATTTCATCCTCTCTCGCTCTGCACTATGATTCTCAGTTTTCCCAGAATTTTCAGAAATAACTCATATGTTTTATGAAATTACGTTAAATTTGTGAGAATTTGATATATCAATGATGAAAATTGGTTCAGTAGTTCAGTGACAATTTGAAAATGAAATTGACGCGACTATGTGGACGTAGACATCTGTCCGACACTGTACCTAATTTAATAATATGTCAATAGCGATACCTAAGTTCCATGTTTCGATCCTGGAAAAATTAATAGCGAAAATGCAATTATTTTTCAAAATTCTATCGATTAGAAAATTGGGGTCCGTAAACGGGGCAGTGGCCAAATTCTGGTCCAAAGTAATTTTCTACATTATTTCCAGCCATATTTGACTCAATTTTGACGATTTTGTGACAAAAGTCAAATTGATCAAAATTCGCAAAAAAACTCGCACATTTTGGCTTATAGTGCAAAATCCACACATGGGCCAGTATTATTTCGGATTCTTCATGTACACAAAATTACGCAAATTCTAAGCCATCATACATGAAAATCGTTAAAGCGCGAAAAAATCAAAATTAGATGGTATATATAGGTACTAAATAAATAAGGGAAACGAAAACAAAATTAACGTAAACGTAAATTCGGCGTCGCCCAAACTTGGCGGGAGTTAAAATTTAACATTAATGTCCAAATTTTAGTGTAATTCTCCTTAATGACATCAACAAATTTCACACCTTAAACAATCAAAATCAATAGTTCCTTCTCCAACGTATGAAACCTACCATAATGGCGGTTCAGTACGGAAAACCTGTAATATTTTTTCCCACAAAAGTAGCAGTTGTGGCATTTCGGTAAACAGCTCTCTCTCCTCGAGTGACGTTTCAGATGCGATTTTGAGAACGTCGTGTAGCCGCATAATTGACACGAATGTTTTGTTCCCGCGCCGTGATAATTTTTTACGTGGAACCCCAGATCGGGTTTGGCCAGGTAAGTCCGAGGACATTGTTGACATGGGAACACTGGCCGGGATGATCTCTCTTGGTGCGTCATCTGTAACACAATTTAGCCCCTTAAGCTGAATTAACATTATGTAGGAGGGAGACATCCAAGGTGCACATCGCCGTGCAAACCATATAAATTTATTATTCGAACCAAGTAATTTTCGTGCAAAAATATGTTGCGATGCGAACTCTTAATGAATACTCTCGAAAACCATAAATACACCGCAAAACTGGGTAAACTATTGATATGCTGGATACACACTTCAAAGCGTTAACCCTTTAATTCGTAGGACAGTTGTCGTTTTCTTGGAAATGGTTTAATTCGGGAGGAAGACAAAAGTCATCTTGAAAAATTGTGGAAGAGGATAATTGTCGTTACCGTGAGGTCATTGATTTTCCCGATTTCTCCCTGCGGCGTAAAAATTTCTGCCATGTTGGGAGATTTCCCCTATTCCAGCCATGTGCTAAATTTGAAAATGTTCTTGCCAAAAAATGCGAAATTTCCCAATATAACGCAACGTTAAATTTAGTATGTTTCACTTTTTTCGAGTTTTATCAAAACTGTTAAATTCATTAATTCATCCTTCCGCACCATGACCACAGTATGTATACTTATAACGTGCCCAAATTAATGCATTTTCTTAAAATTAATCATACTCCTTATTAATGAGTCCTTAAAGGGTTACACAGCTGCAGCAGTTAATAACAGTCAAGATAATTCAAAGTAATTGTGTTATTGTTAGTAACATTAACAAGCTTAAAATATGATCTTATTCGTGTCCTGCGCGAAGTAAAAGTTCATAAAACATAAATGCGAGTTAAAGATAACTAACACCAGACACCTCAGATGTTTCCCTTATAAGTCATACTTAAATAAAACCCTCACTTACCGCATGTCTGGAGAGTGAGCCCAAAACCGAGAAACTCTTTCCACATGTGTCACACTTGTAGACCTTCTCGTTCGTATGAACGTCAATGTGCTTGTTCAAGTTTACCTTATTTGTGAACCTTTTGGGGCACAAGGTGCACCCAAATCGCATAGGATTATCGGCATGCTGCACTTTAAAGTGCCGGGTAAGACTTGCCTTACTTTTAAATGGTTTACCGCATCCAGCAAAACTGCAGCACACTTGGACCCGTTCCGTCGTGTGAATGCTCGTGTGACGAGTAAGAGCTTCCTTAGATTTTAATTCCTTTCGACAAAAATAGCATTCAAAACGTTTCCAGCAGGTGGTGTGCATCCTCTGTATATGATGTCTTAAATGGTTGTTATATTTACTCTTATATCCGCATAAGTGACACGAGTATTTTTTCAAGGCGGAATGATAGTTTTTCTTGTGAGATAAGATCCCCGTGTCAGATAAAAATGTGCGGGGACAAAGGTCACAAGTAAACTTTATTCGGGCCGAATTTTCCAAGTGTGTAGTCTACAAGGGTAATATAAAGGACACGCAAGTTTACCAAAAATTTCAAACAGATTTTCGCCGGGAATTAATCTCAACCTTCCCCTTCGAACACTTTCCTCGCCGGCATGTTCATCAACAGCCCCGTGCATTGTAAGGATTGCTGAGCATGCCGGCGAGGAAAATGTGCGAAGGGGAAGGCTGAGATTAATTCTTGGCGAAAATCAGTTTGAAATTTTTGAAAGAAGGGTGGCTTGAATATTATACCAGAAAATCATGTTATTCTCAAAAATCAATCTATCACTGTAAATAAAGTTGAGTAAAATTTACCCCGCCAAAGTTAAAATTTACTTAAGGTTGAGCAAAAATCTGCCAAAGTTGGATAAATTTTAACTTTTATTGGGTAACTTTTACTCAATAGTTGTGCTGGTGGCAACTTCACTCAAAATTGAGTAAATCTTACTCGATTTTTTTACACTGTATTATTTCGTTCCTTGTAATAATTTTGAATATTGTTGAAATGTCTAAATTGTACTAAGGTGAATCTTATCCTTAAATAAATAACTAATTTAATTTAAATATTTTCTTCTCATTTGCATACCTCGTGCTTCCTTAGTGTCCGCATTTTCCCGAAACTCCTGCCACATGTTTTGCATTTGAAACTCCTTTCTCCCGTGTGAGTTCCGATGTGTTGCATTAAATCTCCTCTCATTTTAAATTCTTTCGGACAAAGGGTACAACGAAATGGGACGTAATTCTCGTCATGATCAGTTTTATAGTGTGAGACGAGGCTCGTCTTATTTAGATATTTCTTGTCGCACCCATGAAATTTACAAGGAATTCGTTCTCTTGTGGTTGCGCTATGGACATATTTCACGTGGTTGCGTAAACTTCCGCGAAGATTAAACTCTTTACGACAAAACTGGCAAGGCAGATTTTTCTTGTCTCCGTGCATGTTAGATAGATGTCCTGGTAGGCAGGCTGCATTTTTAAGCACTTTTCTACAAATCTGTAAATTTTAGAAAGTACCAAATTATTGGGGAACACTAGGTACAGGGTGGTCTAAAATTCAGGGTGGCCTTTTCCAGTATAAAAAGTTAAAAAAAACTCATAATGAAAACTATCTCATGGTGATTAATTTCAAGGAAAAATTTTCCATAACTACCATTAAGACGTGTGATTCACTACAAGAAATTGCATTAATTCGGGCACGTTTTAAGTATGTTGTGGTCATGGTGCGGGAGGGGGAAGGACAAGGTAATATTTTGGCTCTCTCAGGCCACGAGTCATTTTTTTCTTAATTTCGGTAATTTTTGAAGATTATTATAGATTATTAACAAGCAACAATTAATTAATACGATAGAGTTCAAAAAACTTACCTTCAACCACTTTTTTATGCCACAAACCCTTCACCTCGACGGCACGTTTTTGACACGTTCTGGGGGTAATATTGCGAAAACGGTTACAAATTGCTGAATACTACCAATTAGAAAAATTAAGGTGCTTACATGGACTAATAAAAAAATCCAATTCTGGTCCCTCCACTTACAAGGAAATAAAAATATACCCATAAAGGCCAAATTTTTTTGCAAAAAATTGCAGGCTTTCATCATATACGGACCTTTTGCACTTGATTTGAGGAAAACTGTTGTCTTCCTGGGGCACGTACAGGCCATATATGCAATATAAAACAATAACCTCAATGGGGGTCATCACCGTTTTTTAACTAAAAATCCGAAAAGTAGGAAAAATGGGCAAAAAATGCTTAATTTTTGACTTATCGTATTTTTAATTAAAAAATGGGGATGACGCCCATTGAGGTTTTTGTTTGATGTTGCATAAATGACCAGTAGGTGCCCCAGGAAGACAATAGTCTTCCTCAAATCAAGTGCAAAAGATGCGTATATGATGAAAACCTGCAATTTTTGCAAAAAAATCTGGCATTTATGGACATATTTTTCTTTCTTTGTACGTGGGAGGACTAGTATTGGATTTTTTTATTAGCCCATGTAAGGACCTTCATTTTTCTAATTGGTAGTTTTCAGCAATCTGTAACCGTTTTCGCAATATTACCCCCAGAACGTGTCAAAAACGTGCCGTCGAGGTGAAGGGTTTGTGGCCTAAAAAAGTGGTTGAAGGTAAGTTTTTTGAACTCTATCTTATTAATTAATTGTTGCTTGTTAATAATCTATAATAATCTTCAAAAATTACCGAAATTAAAAAAAAATGACTCGTGGCCTGAGAGAGCCAAAATATTACCTTGTCCTTTAGCAGTTTTAATAAAACTCGAAAAAACTGAAAAATCCTAGATTTAACATTGCCTTATATGGGAAACATCGCATTTTTCGGCAAGAACATGTTCAAATTTAACATTTGGTTGGGATAGGAGAAATCCCTCAAAATTTCAACAAATTTTATACTTTGAGAGAAAATTGCGAAATCAATGACCTTCGGGATACGACAATTGTCCTCCTCTCACACGATGACCACAATTTTCCATGACGACTTTTGTCTTCCCCCCGAATTAAACAATTTGCAAGGAAACGACAATTGTCTTCGTTATGAATTAAAGGGTTAATACAGATTAATTATGTTTTCCCATTTAAATACTTTCTCTCATGGCGTGACATTTACAACTAAATACATGAATTATTTTGTTAAAACATACCTCGCATTTTACTTCCCCATCTGCGTTGTCGTGAGTGAAAATATGTCTCCTGAGAATTGTCTCGTTTTTAAATATTTTCGAGCACTGGGGACACTCCCACTTTTCAATTTTCTCCGAATTCATTTCAAATGTTGGAATCGCTTTGCTTTATTGGCTCATACTAAACACATTTGGTTTTCTTTTTACTATTAAAAACTCTAAATTAAATATGTTTAAAATCACGTAAATTTCCTGTTAATATTTTCATTTCAATGGTCTCCGTAATATTCTTATGTGTGTAATTTTACGATCTGACGTCAATATTGAGGGCAACAATTAAATATGTCCACGAAATTCTAAAACACAACGACGCTCTACATCATAATTAGATAAAGTAGGCAAAAGTTGAGTTCTCTGATGAATGCAGTCTTTTAGTGCAGGAATCAAACTGAAGGTATTTCTGTATCCCTCCAACTAAAGACTGATTTAATCGCCCTCGAGCAAAGCGCAGTCCCTATTTTAGTAAAATGCATGTAAACCCTGATCCAAGTGAAGTAGAGCAAAATCATTTACACGTTTTTTTAGGGTCGACAAACTCTCAAGTTTCAACTTATTTTTAGAAAGGTTCACAATTTTAGGAATCCGCAAGACAAAAATTATGCCAAGCTAACGATAAGTACTTCTCATATATGAATTTCATACATTAGGTACTATTCCTAGGTGATGATTATTTATATAGAACCGACTGGTAGGAAATTTGTTACCACCCCGGTAATTTTTATTCTCCCTGACTTCACTTATTACCATAATACAGATAAACCGTTTATTATAAACGAGAATCAAATTTTCCGGCAGCAGCAGGGAGAAAACTCTGAAAAAATACTTTCGGCTTCAGGACCAGTGTAAAGTCGTTTGGGTTTACCCTGATTCGAAATATGTACCTCAATAAATATTCCACTTTGACTTATCTTCAAAGATCTGCATATTTTTAGTCTATTTGATCAAGTTTATGGTAACGATGCAGGCTGGTCGTGGTAATAAATGCTATATCGTAAATGATACGCCACGGTTATTGGTTTGCATGCCTAAACGTATGCACGGCTTTCGGTATTGTACATATTCAAGTAGAAGATATTAATAGAAATCTCTACTTTGCAAGACCCTCAAGGTTGCCCCATTATCCGTTCATGGTCAAATTTCTCTTGTCAAATCATTTATGTCACTTACAAGTAAATACGATAGGTAATTTTCTTTTTGGTTATGAATACAGGATGCAATAAGTTATGCTAGCTTAAGATGTGCGTAATTTTGTGTACATAAGGAACTCAAAATATTTGTGAATGCCCGTTTTTGCGCTAGAAGCCAAAAAATGTGTGAATTTCACGGTATAAAGTAAAAAAACTATGTAAGTATTTCCCTATGTAATTTTTAATAAAATACATAAATAACAATATATTTAAATATGTCTTAAATACCATGCGGTACGCTTTTTATTTCGGATGATTCATTGATCTAAGGAAAACTTAATTTGTAAAGTATCCTTTTACACAAATTAGTTATTGAACAATAAAATATTCCACATTAAACTCATCTTACAGTGAGTCGTCGCGTGTTAAGTCCTTTTATCTCTATTTTCAATACAATTTACAGTAGAAACTCAAATAGTAGCCTTGCTATAATAATGTTGTAGCCGCCTCCCAGCTACCAATTTTGTAAGTAATGGCCCCAGGCTACTATTTGAGTTTTTACGATATGTACTTATATTCATAAAATGGTGAACGAATATAGAACTGTTCTTCTTACCTGGATGGTATTGTTTTAAATATTTTGCAATCAATAAACCCTTATTTTTAAATGGTAGTCGAATTAAACAGTGATCAGCTGAGTCCGTTTCTATTAAGAAACTGGCCTTCTATCGCAGAAATCCTCAGCTCAAAACATAGGAGAATTTGGATCAAAAATCAAGATTTCAAATATTTTGTATCAAGTTTCGCTTCCCACCTTCAAGGGATATAACGGAGAATTGATTTTCAGCATTTCTTAATCCGGCAGATAAATAGTGATCAGCTGAGCCCGTTTCCATTAAGAAACTGGCCTTTTAGCGCAGAAATCCACAGCGCAAAACATAGGAGAATTTGGATGAAAAATCAAGATTTCAGATATTTTGTAGCAAATTATGCTTCCCTACTTCAAGGAGATATAACGGAGAATTGATTTTTGCGCATTTATTATACTACGTGTAGAAATTTTAATTGGCACGAGTACTGGTCACTAATGAGCTGAAGCAATTAATCCAAGATTTATCTTTTTATCTGCAACAGCTGGACATTTCAAATCCCGGGGCAATGACGGATAGCACATCCATTGATTTTTTATCAATTTTTGTTTGAATATTACAAGCCTCCAATTGAAAAATGAACGTTGTTGTAATTTTATTCGTACACTACCATCATTATACTACGCATTGAAATTTTAATTGGCACGATTACAGGTCACTAATAAGCTGAATCAATTAGCCCAAGATTTACCTTTCCATCTGCAACTGCGGGACATTTGAAATCCCGGGGCAATGACAGATAGCACACCCATTGATTTTTTATCAATTTTTATTTGAATATTATAAGCCTCCAACTGAAAAATGAACGTTCTAGTAATTTTATTCGTACACTACCATCATTATACTACGTATTGAAATTTTAATTGGCACGATTACAGGTCACTAATAAGCTGAATCCATTAATCCAAGACTTACCTTTTCATCCGCAACAGCGGGACATTTGAAATCCCGGGGCAATGAGAGATAGCACATCCATTGACTTTTTATCAATTTTTATTTGAATATTATAAGCCTCCAACTGAAAAATGAACGTTCTAGTAATTTTATTCGTGCACTACTATCATTATACTACGGATTGGAATTTTAATTGGCACGATTACAATTCACTAATAAGCTGAATCAATTAATCCAAGATTTAAATTTTCATCTGCAACAGCGGGACATTTCAAATCCCGGGGCAATGACAGATAGCGCACCCATTGATTTTTATCAATTTTTATTTGAATATTATAAGCCTCCAACTGAAAAATGAACGTTCTAGTAATTTTATTCGTACACTACCATCATTATACTACGCATTGAAATTTTAATTGGCACGATTACAGGTCACTAATAAGCTGAATCAATTAGCCCAAGATTTACCTTTCCATCTGCAACTGCGGGACATTTGAAATCCCGGGGCAATGACAGATAGCACACCCATTGATTTTTTATCAATTTTTATTTGAATATTATAAGCCTCCAACTGAAAAATGAACGTTCTAGTAATTTTATTCGTACACTACCATCATTATACTACGCATTGAAATTTTAATTGGCACGATTACAGGTCACTAATAAGCTGAATCAATTAGCCCAAGATTTACCTTTCCATCTGCAACTGCGGGACATTTCAAATCCCGGGGCAATGACAGATAGCGCACCCATTGATTTTTATCAATTTTTATTTGAATATTATAAGCCTCCAACTGAAAAATGAACGTTCTAGTAATTTTATTCGTACACTACCATCATTATACTACGCATTGAAATTTTAATTGGCACGATTACAGGTCACTAATAAGCTGAATCAATTAGCCCAAGATTTACCTTTCCATCTGCAACTGCGGGACATTTGAAATCCCGGGGCAATGACAGATAGCACACCCATTGATTTTTTATCAATTTTTATTTGAATATTATAAGCCTCCAACTGAAAAATGAACGTTCTAGTAATTTTATTCGTACACTACCATCATTATACTACGCATTGAAATTTTAATTGGCACGATTACAGGTCACTAATAAGCTGAATCAATTAGCCCAAGATTTACCTTTCCATCTGCAACTGCGGGACATTTGAAATCCCGGGGCAATGACAGATAGCGCACCCATTGATTTTTATCAATTTTTATTTGAATATTATAAGCCTCCAACTGAAAAATGAACGTTCTAGTAATTTTATTCGTACACTACCATCATTATACTACGTATTGGAATTTTAATTGGCAAGATTACAGGTCACTAATGAGCTGAAGCAATTAATCCAAGATTTACCTTTTCATCTGCAACTGCGGGACATTTGAAATCCCGGGGCAATGACAGATAGCGCACCCATTGATTTTTTATCAATTTTTATTTGCATATTATAAGCTTGCAATTAACAGTTGAACGTTCTGCTTGTGTTATTCATAAAGTAGCATCATTATTGAATAGATTGGTTATTAGTAATTTAGATTGGCACGATTTCATATCGGTTATTGGCGGAATCATGTTATGAAAGATTCACATTATTTCTTCAACAGCGGGAGCTTTTGCTTTGATTTTACTTCAATTTCTATACTAATATGAATAACAAATCAACAAATTGAACGTCCCAGTTACTTTGTAATACTAAATTTCACTAAATTACCCGTCTGCAGAGGAATCACTGCAGACTGCACAAGTGCTAGTAAAAGGACGAATGTTACAGTCGAACAATTAACTAGGCATACATAATAAGCATCGGGTAAATGATGCAATTAATAATTTTGTTTCCACATAAATCATATTAAGATAATAAATAGTATATGAATAATAATAATTTGTTGATTCATTTTTGGTTGTGTCTAGTTTGTCACTCAATTTCTGAATTATAAAGGTTTGAATTTGGGTATGCAATATCTAATTATACATCATAGTCTCAGATTTTGCTAGTCTGAATCTCGGCCATAATGAGTTGGTACATCTCTTGTCGCAACGTACGAACCGCATCGGCTTGTGCATCGTGGTCACTGGAACCGAGGTTTGAAATCTCGTGCTGCAGACTCGTAAGCTCGGGATTATTCATTTACACATTTAAATACACGATAACGAAGAGTCGGATACACGGTTTTATAAAAATCTAAGAGATTATGTATAATCTCTCAGTGTCATAATCTCTTACATATCTCTCTTATGATAACGATTTTTTTAAAACCAGTCGAAATGGTGACATAATGTGTGCGCAGCCACAAAGTTCCTATCTTAATACATTATGGGTAGGCCACACTGTTCGTCAAACGGATTTCGATATAATTTTGTAAAATCCATAAATTTCATATTTTCAACTCATGGAAATATCAAATATGATTTTTAAATAATATTGTAATTATTCAAATTAGGTGACGTTTTTTGGCATTTTTTGGTAACGTGGTTTTGCTTCACGCTTACTCAAAATTGGATGTCAGTGCCTTTTCTCAGTCTGCTCTCCACTCCGCCCAGCACTATTAACGGTGATGCTCACGTAAAGAAATACTCAAAGGACGAGTTACTGCGCTACCTGGGAGCTGACGAGGTGGATGAAATCCTTAACATTTTGACAGGCATCGACCCCAGCCCAGTTATTGCGAAGGAATTCTCGGCTGCTATTCATTTCAGGGAGACGAATTTTGCTGCTCGGAAGTCTTCAGACTGGGCATGGAGAGACCTACGGAGCTGGAAAGGGTTGGCCAAACTGATCTGGGTGCTGGTAATGAGGATCATTTCTTTTTCCAGGGAGGGTACAACACCCTGGCGTAAGGAAGATTAAGGTGGCACAATTTTCTCACGGGTTCGAATTAACGATCACTCTCGATTTGCAGGGAAGCCAAATTTGCACAAATTATTTACCGATCGAGTTGCTGGAACGCTTGGAAGAAGAGGAAAAATGGAATGGAAGAAGGGCAAGAAACATTTCGGTTGAAATTTCCTACCTGACCAACCCAAATGACGCATCCTCGGTGAAAACAAATGTTTGAACTTTCACACCAAAATTTTCCCTAGGTGCGGCAACAATTGCGAAGAAGGGGTCAGACTGCTCAGAACTGACACTGATTTTGACGAGAATAGCATGCAGCTCACCGTAGTTTGTGTGAGTGTCAAGAATTGGTACAGGGTGTGAGAAATTTAGACATATTTTGAAAAGCAGACACATAAAGAAATGAAATGCATGACTTGTAATTTATGAGTTATAAATGAATTAATGTTCCTTGTTGATACATACACACTTTAGATTCGAGACTTTCGGAATTCGGAATTAATCTACGTAACTTTGCGAATCGCTGAAAAAATTTCGAATGTTTTTTGTCTCCTTTTTGATGGGAAAAGAAATTTGCATATATTTCTAAATAAATAAGATTTTGGTCTAATTTAGCTGAATTTATTAATGTTGAAAATATATTACCGGCGGTAATAAATCAAATAAATTTCTAATTACAAATCCATCCATACATATGCAACTCGCACCTCAATTGTGGGGCAACATCCCCTCATGTAGAAAATTTATTTTCCGCCGAAATTGTCCTAGATTTTTACCACTTATAGAAAAAAATGTTATCGATTTAAGTACATAATAAGAAAAACTAATTTTTTATTTTTTTTCCGAGCCTGATTTTCTCAAAAAACCAAGTAATGCGAACCATTATTTTTAAATATGCCGAATGATCAAATATGCAGATGCGATTGGCCCCCAAAGTTAGAGAAATGAGCAAAAAGCCCTGGTCACCACGTCGCTTCGTCCCGTCTCGTGTTAAATGAGATGAGCTGATGTGAATTACAAGCCTCAAATGAGTAAATATGTGTCTTCTTTATATATTACATACATATGAAAATTTGATTACATTTAACAATTTCAATGTACTCTGCGATAGTAATAAGGTTTATTGGATTAATTCCATTTTGCAACCAAGTGAATTTATATTTTCGGAATCGCATCATTTAAGGATGGAAAGTGGTAGAATAATTTTGCACATTTAAAATAAACCCATCAGTTTGCCAATAATTTTTAGGGTTGGTATTATATATGTTCTAAGATCTTAAATAAAATACTGTTTCCTTGATTTAACCGAGAAACCTTATTATCATCGTGGGCTACATTAAAGTTACGAAATTTGATCAGATTTTCATGATAATTAGATATCACTTGAAAAAGTTATGGCTAACTTAATGCCGACTATAATCGCGTTGCCTTTACTTTTGGAGTAACTGCAGTTGTGGAACTCTTGCTACCAGAGTTTTACGTGTCATTTGCGTATAAGCTTTTCCTCATTTGAAAACTCTTCACGATAAAATTGATGGAGCAATAAAATTGATTAAATACGCACATCCCGACGAACCCTCTGGTATGCATTTGTCCCCCCGTTTTCCTTAACCCTTTATGTAGGATGATTACCTACAAGAGAATACATTAATGCGGGCACAATAAGAGTATATTGGGTGCTCGAGGAGGAATTATATGGTTTTAATAAAACTCGAAAAAACCTACAGTGCAGCCTTCATGTAGCCCGAGTCAGGGATAGATCCGATTTCAGCTTTCTCCGACAATTTTGAGATTTTGGTGCATAATACCCCACCCACCTACATGACCCCCACCGGTCAACCACTTGACCGATTTCGCCCATCTTCGAACTTAACTCCTCATTTGTGCCATACTACATGTAGACCAAATTTCAAGTCGATAGGATAAGTTTAAAGAGAGTTATCGTGAATCAGACAGACAGACGGACAGACCGGTTCCATAAGCCCTGACTCGGGCTAAAAACTGAAAAATCCATAATTTAACATTGCATTAGACGGACAAATGTTCAAATTTTTGTCAAGAAAATTATCAAATTTAACATTTGATTGGCAATGGAGAAGTCCCGCAAAATTGCAACAAGTTTTAATTTTTTAAGAAAATTGTGGGAATTAATGACCTTCTGCAAACGACAATTGTCCTTCGCCCGCACCATGACCACAAATTTTCAGGATGACTTTTGTCCTCCTTCCGAGTTAAAGGGTTAAAGACATATTTTATTTATGTATCAGAGCAGGGATTGAAGTAGGACTTCAATCGGTCGGTGTTTAAGAATGAACAACATAATGGAATAATGACACCGTTATAGGTAGCAATTTCTTTACATTAATGTGGACACGGGTAATTGAGCTGTAATCGATTTGATGTGCACACACACAGCTGGCAATGAGAAGGTGTCAGGTGGTTATCTCCGATCTTGACCGGACTAATTTTTAATTGTTCACATGCAAAAATAGACCAAACAGTATTTTTGCGTTTTCCTTTATTGTCATGTTTTCACCTGTGGCGGAATTAGCAAAAACAAATTTCAGCCTAAATCTGGATTTTTCAAAACGCCGTGACTTTTCGAAGGACTAGCCGCAACTTAGGCTGTTTGCCGGCTAAGGTTTTGAGCCTCGAGCGTTTCGAGTTCTAACCCGCTTAATTTTATAGATCATGGTAGTAGAAGAAAAAATCATAATGGGCGCGTTGCCAGAAAATGCCTCCGTCACCTTCTGTAGGCCAAAACTGATTACTTCGCCATATCAACTTTTGACACATTAAGGGGCCATTATATCCAGAACGGCTAAAGATTTCTTAATACTACCAATTTGAGAAATGATAGTACTTACATAGGGTTACTAAGACACCGCATACCGAGCTATAATCAGTTAAACCCGCTCCACTAAAAAATCCTATGTCACAAAAATCATTATTTTTTACGATTTTTTGCAAATATTTCGCTTATTATGCTTAAACCCCACCGTAGGATTTGACTCGAGTAATATTTATTTGGAAGAGCACCTATACCCATATAACATATCAAAAATTTGGAGTTGGTATATTCTTATTTTTCGAAATAAAAAATCAAATATTTCAAAAAAATGCAAAATTATCAAGTTTTCATGATTAATTTTGACATATTTGATTTTTTATTTCGAAAACTAAGAATATACCATCTCCAAATTTTTGATATGTTATATGGGTATAGGTGCTCTTCCAAATAAATATTACTCGAGTCAAATCCTACGGTGGGGTTTAAGCATAATAAGCGAAATATTTGCAAAAAATCGTAAAAAATAATGATTTTTGTGACATCGGATTTTTTAGTGGAGCGGGTTTAAATGATTATAGCTCGGTATGCGGTGTTTTAGTAACCCTATGTAAGTACCATCATTTCTCAAATTGGTAGTATTAAGAAATCTTTAGCCGTTCTGGATATAATGGCCCTTGAAGGTGTAAAAATTGACATGGCGAAATCTGCAGTTTTTGGCCTACAGAAGGTGACGGAGGCATTTTCTGGCAACGCGCCCATTATGATTTTTTCTTCTGCTACCATGGTCTATAAAATTAGACAGGTTAGAACTCGAAAGAATTTTTAGCCGGCAAACAGCCTATCCTGAGACTAGTCCTTCTATCACGATTTCAATAATTAAACCCAATTTTGCTTAGAATTACTTCCCTGAAAATATAAAAATTGATATTTGATGCTAAGTATTTCGGAATTTTTAGAAACACATGAAACGGTAAGTTTTTACAAAATTAATGTTCACATTTTGGGGTATATGTATAAGTCAGCGTAAAAATTGGGTTGAAGCATTGAAATCGTGGTAAAATTTGAAAACTCACGGCGTTTTAAATAATCCCGATTTTGGATGAAAACTTTTTGTAACCAAGCCCATTGAGAGAAATGCAAAAATATTAGGCTGCTTAGATATCACTGACATTGAACAATTTAAAATTAGTCCAATCAAGATCGGTGATCAACACCTGAGGTCTCCTCATTGTCAGTTCCTGGCAGCAATTTTGTTGTGGAGATCGTTTAACTGATCAGTTTCGCAAATTGCGAATCGTAATGTGGGTAAAGGAAGGTGTAGAAAGTCTTTGCCCGTGTGCATTTGCAAAACATACTATTTATATGTACATAATCATGTGTAAATGTCATACAAAATCTCTATGTGAGATACGATTTTAGCACATATTTAGCATGAATACTTCCAAATATATAAAGGTTTCCATTTTTACAACTTTGTAGCCAGTTCTTTCCTATTGGTGAGAGATATAAGGATTTAACATCATGAAATTTATCGTATTTTTGGTAAGTCTGGAGACAAGATTAGGAAACTTAAATTAATTAGTTTATTTAATCAAAATGTTGTTTAAATTGCTTGCAGTTGTCTTCTCTCCTGGTCACTGGGGTTCTAACCAGACCCCAATTCGGTGGGGATGAAGACGATGATGGCGAGTTTGAGAGTGGTGGAAGTGAAGATTTCGGAGGCGATAACCCCAGCTCTTATCAAACTGATGGTGAATATGTCCCGGCCCGTTATGGGGGTGCGGCCGACACCCCGAGCATCAGTTCGTACCAATCCAACGAATATTTACCAACTCGCAGGAAAGAAAATAGTGAAGGCGACGACGGGGCAAGATATCAAGCAAGATTAAGGTACAATTAATTTTAGGGGTTACGGCAGAATCGTGGAAGGTAAAATTATGTATGTCGAACTGCATGGATCATGCGACTCATTCGGGACTTTTGCATTAATCAGGCAGTAAAGGTGGTATTCTGAGTGAAAATTTTGAGCTTGAGTGGGAGTAGCCACTCACACTTTACGTGTTAAAAGAATACAAAATGTGAGTGGCCACTCCCACTAAAGCTCAAAATTTTTATTCAGAATACCACCGTAAATCTCTTTGTTTAATAAAGTCGAGGCTCGTCAGATAAATTGATCCGCAGCAAGATAAGCATAAATTAAACACTTAAGTTTAATTTATGCTTGAGTTTAAATTTAAATTTAAACACACACTTGAGTTTAAATTTATTTAGATGCATGTACATAAATATACATATTTATGGTATGTATGCATAGTACTTTTTTTGTACTGTATGGAAAAATCTATGTTGATGAATATAATATTTACTATGATATTTATCCAGTGATATTTTTGGTGTTCAGATTGCAGAGAATTATTGATTTAGGTATTAATGATATCCATTATTTTTAAAGTAGATATGATACCAAATAAGTAATATGAACCTGAAGTATGTACATATGCATGTCTACATAGTTGGGCATAAGTATGTATGTACTAAAGGTCGAGTAAAGTTTTGCAAAAAAATGCTCCCTTTCCCCACAAATCCAATCCTCTGGCAGATTTAATTCATATGTTTATAAATATTTCCATAACACGAGAAATACTTATGTGTAAATGGGTATATGTACATACATACGCACTGATTGTATCTATGTAAATATTGACTTATTTAATTACACCCAGAAAAATTGCATGTGGTTCAAATTTTAATTCACTACATATTTCCCGTATTTTCACAAAGCATTAGACCTTTTTCCAAGGCAGGTAAATAAATATACATGCAAATAAAACGCTGTTAAAAGCGGCATCGGTTTGCAATGTACATAAATACACATGTTTGACGTGTATTTCATTTTATGGGGGGCTTAATTTGCAATTTAACCAAAATTACAATTTGTTTATATCAATTTTATCCAGTTGCCTGTTTAGTGTTTAAAATGGTTATTACGAGATAAAGCAATACATAATTCTGAACATAATTAATTCGTATTAATTAATTGTGCATAATTTTGAACACTACTTGTAAATTTATGCACCCGAATTTACCTACTAATAAAGAAAGTTAGTTGAAAGAAAATGTAGTCAAAATGATGAGCAAAATGTGGGAGATTGGAGGAGTAAAGTTCCATGTTTATGTGTCAGCTTGGTTCCACCCAAAAATTTAAAATCTTAAAAGGGTGCACTAGATTTTTAATTTTTTATACCTAAATAAAATCACATTCCATAAACTAAAGATCCACATGAAGGATGATTAATCCAACGGTTTGTATCATTTAGCTCAAGTTTGTTTAAATTTAAGTATACAACGATGCGTAAATTTCAAAGCAAAGATTACACGAACCGTTTTACCCAAGTCTCAACCTGTCCACGAAACGGGACGGATATTTTTCAGCTGTGTCATGTTTATGGCCACCACACGTGTAAGTCCAACCTACAATCTCCTGTGTAAATAACAGCTACATACGCAATGTGTGCCTAGTTTTTTGTCGAGTTGTGTTCTATCTGCTACATATGTACAATGCTGGCCGGTTTTTTGCATGTCATGCACTGCTTGACCATTTTCATCACGGCACTCGACAACATGTAATGTATAAGTTGTGGCCAGTATGTATATACATAAGCAGATGTCCAGTGTTTCATTCAGTACATATTGCCCGTCCAGCTCTGTTTTGCATTTTCTTGTTTTTGAAAAGATGGCATACAAACTGTATCATTTTATTACTTTGGAAACAATAAATAATATCGGTGACATTTTTGTTACAGGGACAGGATTTGGTCACAGTATAAACTTTTAAATTAAATATGCGTGTAAATTAAGATTTTTAATAAATAATCTTTTATTAAATTCATATAATTATTTCTTGGTCATAAATTTTATTTGGATTAAAACATTGCACTAGTTTGTAAAAATTTGTGACCGCTGTTGTAAAGTTTTATTACCGAGCTATTTAGTGATATATTAGTAATTTACAGGATTACTTATGTAGTTAATTTTATCCACCGAACAGAGACAACTTGGGGAACAATTCCACTGATTGAGTTTGAGGGGAAAAAATTAAACCAGTCGCTCATAATTCGTCGCTCCTTTGCCAAAAAAGTTTGACCTCGTGGGATCCAATGATTTTGAAGCGGCGCAATGTGACGAGTACGTTGATACGGTGATCGATTCTGTGAAACGTAAGGGGCAATTAACAAATTTAACTAAAAAATCTATGCCGCATGGTCCTGTAACGAAATTCATGCATATTCATATGTGTAGATAACGTGACACCGTTTTTAATTTAAAATCGTTGCCAACGTTACCAATTTCCGTGGTGAAAATATTATGGTTTTGCAGTAACTTAAAAAATTGCTCCAAACCAAGAAAAAGCGCTCGAGCCGAGTTTTTTTTACGAAATTTCACCAACCTTACATTTCCTTGCGCAATACAGCGAGCACATACATAAATGCAGATATTATGTATGCACATACATGTAATCATGGGCTAAAACCGGTCTAATTAATTAATTACGAAGCTTGTCGTTATGCATTACCGTAAAATTAAGCTCTAGGTAGAGCCCAGTAACTTTTCAAAACGTTGAACACCATACACCATTGGTCTCTGCCCGAATAGCAAATAGAGACAGAAAGTACGAAATTTAAAACCATACGCTTAAGGGGTTTGGTTTTATTGTGGAATTTTAGAATTGCAGGTATCCATTTTTTATGCACTTAGACCTTTTTAACATTGAGCATCGACTTTCACCGCATTAAAGTAGATATGTATACACTCAAAATAAAATTGTAACCACCGGTGTCAATATATGTATGACTTAACTGATATTTTCGAATATTTTTATAAAATTTTAATTTAAAATTGCCCCCAAATTGCGAATTTTATTTTGCATTTACGTGCAAAAAAACGTTTAAATTTAATTTTCCGAGGAGAATAGTTACACAGCTTGGCTTCCCATCCTGATGGAGCAGGATGACTCTAGACGGAAGGAGCTGGATCAGGTGCAGAAGGTTAAATCCAAGGAACAGTACATGGACAAGTTTGAGCAAATCGTGAAGGACAACGGGGGTCGTTTCCTCGTTGGAAATAAGTTAAGCTGGGCAGACATCTCCCTCGCCCATGTCCTCAACAGTGGGGAACTAAATCATGGGATACGATTTATTGACGAGTATCCCGCCCTCAAGGCCATGCACGACAATGTCATGAGCACTCCAGGGATAAAAAAAATGGATGGAGACGCGGCCGGATACCAAGTACTAAATTTTTGCGTAAGTATGGCGCAAGTTCTTGGTATATGTAAAATTTATTTCAGAACTTAATAATTTGTTATTTCTGAAATATTGAAAATAAGAAATTAATTAAATGTTGTTCAGCACAATGTTTCATTCGGAACAATTTTATTTTTATCGCGAAACTGCAACAAGCTTGTTCCGGCGCAAATAAACTAGACAAGTAAATAAACCTGTTCTGAATGTAAATTTCGCAATTTCACAAAAATAGCCTAAAACCATCAGCCTACCAGCAGGATGGAAGCAAGTTTCTAGAATATCGCTGAACTCCATACCTAAAGGTAATTTCATACTGTCCTCCATCATAAAAATGTTATGCAAATAAATATTTGACAAGTTTTTTTTAATTTTCAAAATCTGCAAAATTATCTAATTTTACAGTTGTTTTTGAAATTCCAGAAAAGCCTAATCCATAATACTATTTTTATGCATTGTAAAAAAATGTCTTCCAGAAAAATTGTTGCCTCATTGATAATACGTTAACATTGGCCATGTTTACTTTATACAAAAAATTATTTATGGATAATTTTATATGAACAAGACGGTCTATTATGCACGAAATCGTTAATTTAATGCAGTCATGTTTCCTAATTTATAGAAAAACAACAAAAGTTCGCTAATTTTGCAAATGGTCACAATTTATAAAAATTTTGCAAACATTTATCTGCATAACGTTTGCATACAGAGAAGCAGTAAAGTCATGAATGCATGCTGAGTGGTGGTTCGTTGTTAGGTAGTTTGTACGAAGTGTGTGTACGAATATCCATACACACTCATGCTGGATGACAAGTAGTTTCTACCCGGGTAGCTCAGTGAAGATTCAGTTCACCAGGTTGCTGTGTAAGTCCATATAGTAAGGCGCAAAAACCCGGAGAAATCTGGTTTCTATAGGATTCCCTAGAAACTTGGTGATATATTGATTTTCCACATGTGTAAACGCATATAAACAAGTTTATTCTCCCCTTTCTTAAAAACATCACCTTTCCTCTCGGATTTTTTTCCAGTTTTCTTATAAAGTAAAGAAAAATACATGCATTAAATACACTTGGAACATAATGTTTGGCGCTATTGGTGGGGTGACTGCGTGTGCAGCGGTGTATTCCGGTCATCCGAATAGTTTCCCATGTTCTAGTTTGGGTGGGAGTGGCAGTGGGAGTACGTTCGAATTCATTTCTACAGAAATTTCACTGCCGAATGGACGAGGACAGAAAGCAATTTGTGGAAACTTAAAACTCACTCAGCAAATTGGGTATAAACTGATTAAAATTGACACTAAAAAATTGGACAATTGGCATTATTATGGTAAGTTATACTACAATAAAATAGCTGCTTAATGGGGGTATTCATTATGAAAATACTTATAGTACGTGGAAACATTTTGGATTTAGAGCGAAATAATTTTACGAATTTTGCGTGTTTTATTCTGAGGTAGTGAATACCCTTAATGCAACTTTAAAAAACTAGTTTCCACAAATATGGCCTTATTATTTGCAATATTCTTTAAACCTTAAGTTTTTAAGCAAGAAAAATTCCCCAGCCTTGCAGGTTGGCGATTTAACTAATTACTTTTGGGATAATAATCTTGCTTTCGCCCCCATATTTCTGGACTACTTTATAAAAACAATGAGATTGCAACTTATCCTAAACATTTGATTCCTACTTAGCAATCGTGGTCGAACTGCAGGGTCACGTCACAAACGCAAAAGGAGAGAAATCATGCACCTATTTACGACAACTACTACCAGAGACGAATTCAGGATTGATTTGCCGTTCGAAGATTTTTTCATTGGTGTCTGGCCAAGAAAATGGTAAAATTCAAATATTATTTACGTGTTTCTTAGTCGAATTCATAATCAAAATAAAATTTGCAAAGTTGCCAAAATTTATGATGTAAGAAAATTGTTTGCAAATTTCTAAAGCACAAACATTTGCAGGCTTGGATTGGCAAAATATCTTGCAAAAAATGGGTTGCTATGGAATAGTACAAATTCTAAATTCCCCAATTTTTTTACTGACTCCATCTCATTGAAATTATAATCAGACTATTATTAATTAACTTGTATTTAATTTTTAATTAAAATTTGTCATTACTCGTAGGAATAAAGAAAGAACTCCATCGTGAAGAACTTCATCCATTCATTCTTGAACAAAATCCGGCCTCGTTCCCGTTCAAAATTCAACTGCCAGAACACAATTCCCAACTTCCGTCCAGCGTAGAGTGTGGTCGTTTTCGTATCGAATACTTCTTAGTGCCCTATCTCCGAATCGCGGCTATATTGAACTTGACCGAAGGGCGCTCCCCAGATTTCGCGGTCATAATTTAATCTCGTTTCAAAATGAGGGTGAAAAAATTAGTTGGATCAGGTCCACTAAAGAAATTAGTGTAATTTTCAGCTCTCCACAGGTCTTTTATAGGCTTAATTGCTTTAACCAAGGGATCATTTACGATGTGAATTTGCAAATTTTTGCAGAAAATTTAGACCAAGTTGAAATATCTTGTGGGGTCGCGGTCGTATAAAAAATTACGAGAGGAGGGAGAACTCTTAGAGAGTTGATCATCGATTCTAAATCAGAGTCGAAAACGGTGGGAGGACAAAACTTGGGATTTTCTGGAAAGCTGTGGGACTCAAAGAGCAGAACTGGGGGTGACAAGGTTTTGCTGACTTCATCTAACCAAGATGGGGAGATGGGGTTAAAAATCCAGCATTTTTTGAGGGGAAGAATTTAAATGTTCCGGGCTTATTCATGATGAGGCCTTCAATTGCTGGGTAACCAATCTAGCAAGTGTTGCGAAATACAGGTTAGGAATAAGGAATACTAAATTTAGCATATTTATCAACGTCAACGTTTTAGTTTTATGTTAAGTTTTGTTCTAAATTAGGAAGATATATATGTATATCAATTTTGGTGTACGGCGGAAAGCACTATACAACTTTGCAGCTAAATTTTTTTGTAAATAATAGTAATAATGATGATAATAATAATGATAATTATAATGTGTTGGATGGATTTTACAGTTCAAGATAGACTTTTCGGACGGATTGTGCGACTCGAAATTGCAAAATTTGGAAGGAGAGGAGGAAATATTTTTTGGGACAGGAAGACTTGGGGACGACGTTGACGCCGTGGCGCCAGGAACATTGTCCAGAATATTGAGATCCCACTCCGTGTCCTCCCTGCTTTCTCTCTGGCCACCATCCTATTCTCGTGCAGTGTCACGGCGAGGATCGTTAATGTCGTTGGAAACATGTCAGTTATTGAGCAGTATTTGCAAAGTATTTAAATAACTTTGAAGGTTGGGAACAAGCCTGTTGTACCAGGTAGGCTCCAGTTGTAGAAAACGGCCGCCAATTAGTGCCGAGACTGGTAATTCGGGCCCTTCGCCGGCCCCAAAAATTAAAACCTGAAAATTACATGTTTTTTTGTTTGCATAATTTTTGTCAAGGTCAGACACCATAAAATATAATTAAATGTTTTCTTAATTCAATTTAAATAATGATTTAATTTAATAATTTTGATTTTTTGCGTCAAAATTTGCAGGGATTGGAACGGTAACCAATTATATTTTATGGTGTTTGACCTTGACAAAAATTATGCAAACAAAAGAACATGTAATTTTCAGGTTTATTTTTGGGGCCGGCAAAAGGGCCCGAATTTTTTGTTTCGGCACTGAATCTGCGGCCATTTTCTACAACTGGAGCCTACCTGGTACAATAGGCTTGGTTGGGAAGTTAAACTTTGGTTTCGAATATGTTGGTTTCAGTACCTCCACATTATGAGGATTTATGCTCTGGTGGAAAAGATAAGGGGACCTAATTGATACGGAGGTTATCTGTATGATGCGAAGACTATTAATAGCAGGTAAATTAAATTACTTAATTGACTTAATTGAATGACTAAAGTAGCTAAATTTTATTCTAAGTCATATCTGAATTTACAGATAAGCCTCTTGCGTACAAATGAGACGAATTTTGAGCGAAATTGAAATATAGTCGGATATTAAAAACACATGTACAAATTACTGTATGAGGAACGATACATTTTGATTTTATTGAACGTTTTAAAAGTTTATACTATATGCTATTCATGCATGTATGTAAATTATAAGGTAAAAGTATTACTATTTATGTATGCAAAGGACGAGTGAAAGCGACAACAATGTGTTACCGTGTTTCGTAAAAAAGTTTTTAATTATCCTAAAAACCTGTATCACGGGAATGACAATTTCAAACAATGCATTCTTCAAGCAAAACCCCTGCTCAGGTAATACAGAAAAATACTCCAACACGCACAAGACATTGTGGACGTCTTTCTGTGTCGCTCTCCCGTTCTTACTTTACATTCTCTAACTTCATCACCACCACGGTTTCACTAGCTTACTTTACCTCAATTCATTCATCACAAACATCAGGCACATATATGTTACTGTATCCGATCTCGCTCTAATAAACGATTGATAAAAAATTGAGTTTGTGTACTTCTTGCACACACTAACCCGAACTTCTCCTCGGTATCGATCTCTCATTCTTACACTTTGCTAGTCACCTCCCCGAGTCAAATCCCATACATTGATTACGCACAGACTACCCGGAGCAATAAAGCTCACTTAACCAACGCATATCTGAATTGCGAGCGGAAATCCCCGACCACCTGTTGCTAAGCGTGGTGTGACACCAGACACCACGAAAAGTTCCTAAATTAAGAGGCCTGTGCACAAATTATGGCATACATTTCATTCCATTTATTTTTTATAACTGGCTATATTGGTGACAAACTATGTCATCATGTAGAAGAGTTGTGTGCTAAAAATTGAATACAAAGTTTTCGAAGTCATGCATATATGAAAGGCCCATAGTGAAACTGGGGAATCAATGTAGCTTATTAACACCACCCTCGATTTTCTTACTCATTTCATTCCAGTAGCTAATTGACATATTTCATTTGTCACCTCTGGTTTTGCACAAAAATTATCACGATAATTTACTAACAATGGAAAAATCAAATCCGACCGAGGGCTACCCCTGTAGCGAGATCTTGGACATTTTGGACCCTGAGGATGACTGGGAGGCCGTGGAGAGGGAGCTCTTTATGTCCGAATTTTTGGAACATAATGAGGGCGAAGTGATCATGGCGACGGTTATTCTGTCTTTGGGGACGCTCTGCTTGTCCCTTCTCGTATATTTACAAACCTATCTGTAAGGACATATCTCCAGGTCTTTCATCTTTTTGTAGTTACGTCAGTTTTAGAGGAAAATTATCCGGTAAGTTGATTAAAATGGTTTATGTGTGAATTTTAGGGGTCGACCCTTTTACATTTCCATAATTTACCTGTCCACCGTGACAATAAATTATTCAATTCAGAGAATTAATATAATTGAGTTTAGTTTCCTTCTTATTTTTACAGATTTCGACCTCCCAACAAATTGCTAAAATCCGAGTAAAGCTTATATCTCAAAATGTACAACTTTGTCTCAACCTGGAACTGACAACGGTCAACTCAATAAATACCTGGGAAGGATTCGTTTAAACAAATTTATCACAGGAACTCAATGCGCTTAAGGAGGAATGAGGGTATTTAATATATTTTAAATATATGCTTTAATATATTTACATATATATTTTATATGTAATTTAATTTATTTTAATATAGTATTTAATATACTTATACGCATGTACTTACATACATCGACACGCATAAATATGAAACAAGTAAAAGTACAACTCATAACGAATTATGTTTAAACGCAACAAAAAAATTGGATTTCAACCTACTAACCTAACCTGTAATTCCTTTACCACCTATTCTAAAACAGTTATTAATTTACTTTACAAAAATTTATCACGAGAATAGTTACTAATTATTAGTAGTTGCAATTAGTTCTAGCAATTAGTATGAAACCGTATAACTTTATAATGAATAAAAAATATCCAATTGAATCAGACATGGTGGTCTATATAACGACATGGTGGTCACTAAAAATTATTGTAATCAGTTACAATAAGTATATAATGAAGTTTCGGTGAACAGTTTCTACCCAGTGGGCGACAAATTTGCTTAAATTTATTTATTTGCACACTTTCATTCCATAGTGTGGAATGACTGGGTTATCTTGCCTATATACAGTAATCTCGGTAAATATCTTTCTGCCTGCAGTAAGTCTATTACCACGAATTTTTGAAGGCTATGAGGAAGCACTGGCTAATTTATCGGTCTAACTATTAACTATAGTTCGAATGAACTAAACCAATCTACAACATAATTTTATTATTTGAATTTGAATTTTGAATTTAAAATGATTTATTATTCCTTCTGAGGCCACTCGGGCCCATAAAGGAGCATAAATAATAATTTATTAAAGAATAAACAAAATGAGTTCCTTATCTCTTCCTGATTAATATAATGAGAATAATGATGTGTTATGCATGGAGTGTGCGCAAGAGGGTATAATTTTATTATTAATTTGTGATATTCTACTGCGCACAAAATTTGGAGGCATTTAATTCAAAACGTTGAACGGGAAGTATGGCAAGACAACACGAATGCCCCTGGTCGAATATACATTAATTATTTTATAAAAAATTTAATACATCATATTCAAAATTAAAATTAATTCTGAATGTAATCAATGCTTAATGCAAATGTTTTGGTAGTGCGATATATGTACGTTTTTTGATCCAATAAGGATTATTATTTACGCATGTAAATTACACTTGGACATTCTTTCTTTTAATTAGAATTAATTAGAATTTCTAATTAGAATTTTTAATTAGAATTTCTTTTGATTCTACCAGTAACTCAGACTTTCAATTACCAACAATGATAATTACCCATTACCACATTAAACTAATTGGCTCAAATTTGAATGCACTAATTAAGAATGGAAAAATCGTCCTCGTCCCCATCTCTTGACAATCGGACAAGCCCTCGTTTACACTTGTACCGAATGTTCTGCACATAAAGCTAGTTGTGCCCATCAATAAACACATTCACCACATCAAAATACTTGACGAGATTCTGTTCCTCGCCGAAAAGAGTAATAACTGTTCGTTCAAAATTAATATGCAGTAAAGTCTTCAAAACTATTTAAAAGGCCAACTGGCCTAAGTTGCTGATTGACAACGAATGATCGGAAAAGGATATTTATTCTTCTGCATAAATTGATTTAATATATTTTCTTGTATACATATATTCCGAAGACCATGTATAGATCATTCATAAATCAGGGACTAAATAATCGTTCTAATGTTGATGCTTGGTTATTTGTTGACAATGTACATGGTTACAGTGATAAGTACTAAGGTAAGGACTATGGGAACCCGATCACTTTGAACTTTATCAGCGGGCTGCTCGAAAAACGGTTTTAGAAAACCAAATTTATTGTGTAATATTATACAGATATCTAACTACGAATCCTGAAAGTTTCAGAAGTTTTTGATGGAAGACAAATTTTGTACACGATTTCAAAGCGAAGAATTCGCGAAATGAGTTTTATGTAAGCACAAAAATTCGTTTTTCATAGATGAGGATAATACCTGACTGCAATTCAAGGAAGAGGGGTGTATTTGTGCAAAAATTAAAACCTACGCAAAAAAGTATGTAGAATCCGAAAATGTTAACCTCAAAGAAGCACAATGACAACAAAACACCATAATGACCCCACGAAATTTAAAAACGATTAATTTGTTTTATGAAAAGTTCCCATGAACGTCCGTGTCTGGTGTGGCAAAGATGTTAAAGACCAATACAAAGTATTTGCATCAAATGAAAGCTCATAAATCGAGGGTCAAATCGTATGAAAAAAATGTCCAGAGAAATACACGGAAGCTCAAGAAAAAATGGTAAACGCAACACGTCCCAAGCTTTGCAGCAAAATTACTCCAAAAGGTTGGAGCATTCACGACGAGTCATACTTCTTTAAAACCCTGGACGAAAATCCGGGAAGGACATTTTCTTACCCCAAATTCCCCAATCTAGCGAAAACCAACGCGAAAATAACATGTTCGTCAAAATTTCTCAAGAAATCTCCAGTTTAGCAGGCATTGGATTAATTTGGCCATATTCCAGACCCTTGCGTCTGTGATGGTTTTATGAACTTAGGAGATTCACGCTCAGACAGTTGCGCGATTTCGGTTTTGGCAAAACCTCGATGGAGGACGGGATCATGTTGGAGGTCGCCGAACTCATCGAGGGTCTTGCCGGGATGGCTGGGCAGCCTGTGTGTGACGTCAAGGAGCGGCTCCAGGTTGAAGTGGTGAACGCCTTGTGGGCCATTTGTACCGGGATCAGGCACAAACATAGCGATAAAGAGTTGATCCATATGACGGTGAAGACTAATGAGTAAGTCGGGCAAAAATGTGGGATTAAAGGTGCAAAAATTAACATTTAATTTAAACTTAAAAGTTTAAATTAAATTGTAAAAAAACTATGGTAAAACTAAGATAAAACTAACTTAAAAGCTTAAATTAAATTGATTCCGTCTAAAATCGAACTGCACACATTTTAAAATTTAGTTTTTTTACATACTAATAATTTAAAACTTTGGTATTCTTTGTGTCTTACCGTAACTCGTAAAATAATTTACAAAGAAAAAATAAGGGGTCAAGCTTATTGATAAGGCAAAATCGTGACCTGTGTAACGCAATTTTTAAGAAAGAAAAGCTTAGGTACAAAATCTCGTAACCTTCGTAACTTATTTTACGATAGGAAGAAATGATTACTAAAAAAGTATTCATAATCCACATTTGTGTTATATAATAACTAGCCTATAAGCCCGTCTTAAAGACGGGCCTCATTTTGTTTAACAGTAATGTAACAAAATTTAATTATAGCGTTGTACAACTGATTGGTCTCAATGAAAATTATATTTACGGTGTTAAATAAAAGCAGTAATGTAATAATCAAATAATGTGGCCATGACAATATTAGGCTTGTTTAATATTTTGTGTTATTCCTGCTAAGCCATTTTTTAGCCTTTCCAAGGAATTTTTTAACGCACTAAAGAATTTTTTTAAGGTTGCTAGAGAATTTTTTCCACTTTGCTAAGGAATTTTTTTAAGGTTGCTGAGGCATTTTTTCAACGATGCCAAGGAATTTTTTTGACGTTGCTAAGGAATTTTTTAAGGTTGT